TGAATATGTATTTTTATTCTGAAAATTCTTTATCTGTTTTCCACCCAGAGCTTTAACATAACTGCCAGACGATGATGGATTAGTAATACATATAATTGAGTAAGGTCAATTGCAGTTTAATAATATTATAACTGAATTATATACCAGGAAGAAGAAAGAAGAAAAAGTGCAAAATGAACATAAATTAGAAAGGAAACAAAATAGACTGCAGGTGGTACTTCTAGTTTACCATTATTAATAGAACAAGTGATTATCATAATAAAAAATTTAAAAAAGATATATTAAAGTTTACATTTTAATTTTAAGGGAGTTTGGAAAGGATTATAAGGTCTTACAAGGTTCAATAGTACAGAAAGGTACAGATTTAGAAGAAAGTAGGATAGCTGAAAGGGAAATAGCTGAGGGAGAAATATATCCTGTAAAATACTAAAATGGCTCAGATATTGATTGCTTCTTTTTAGCTGTATATATCACTCCATTAATGCCAATTTTCCTACATGAAAACTTTGGAATCAATTTGTCGAATACTAAATCGTGCATGTTTATAAAATTGCTCCCAAATAATAGAAGTGATGTCATTAATCCCAATTCCCAACGTGGCAGAGCAGTGACATGAACAAAAGGAGATAAAGCAATCCTGAAGATAATGACAAACAGTTCCTGTAAAATGCTCAAAACACTTCAAGTATTGTTTTAAGATCTTTCACATTAATTATATAGGTAATCTCTGGATCTTATAAATCTGAAGTGATTTTTCCCCTAATGGATTTAAGCCTAGCTGTCTGAATTAAACAGGTTATAAACAAACATTTATTTATATGGCAGTAGGACTTGAAATCCCCTCTGTAAGATACTACTATTATGTTTTTCCACAGTAAATTATCTTTGACTATAGATTTATTGAATATCCCCAAGGTTCAATGACTGGAGATAATGGCTTCTAAAATTAGAAAGCTTCCACAGTATTTCTATAAATTGTATTACCTTGGGGTAAAAGAGCTACAGGAAGTTTCACCTCCTCTGGGATAAAAGACACATTAAAGGGTATTATTTTATTTGAAAGTAAATTAGCAATGCAATCCTTTGTAGAGTGGAAAAGCAATGAGAACTGCCAAAAGAAGAATTAAGATATATTTATCATTTTCTGCTCAGATGGTGAAACTGAGTCTTTTTATCTGCCATATTTTGTTATTTTCTAAGAGCTTGAATTGGATATAATGTTACACTATAGTTTTATGTTACAAGCTATTCTACAAACAACCAAGAGCAGTATAAAATTAAATCAAGACAGCAACTAATGCAGAGATATGGTTGTCAATGGTTTTCTCAATTACAATTATCAGAAAGATTCAAAACAGATAAAAATAATTACACTATGGAGCAAAGTAAGACAGAATCTGAACTATAGTTGTGTATCAATTGTGAACATGTAATTTCTAAATGTACAAATCTTATCTTCAAATTCAAATTTAAATCCATGACTTATTTTAAATTTATTTATTTTTGAAAGAGGCATCTCAAAGAATTATAGGTGAATATTGACTTATTTCAACATGGCAGAATTTTGATTATCATAGATCATTCTAGATAATGATAAGGGCTGACATTGCTGTGCAGGGAATAGAATAAATAGAACATGACTCTGAGCCTCACTTCTGCATTTAAACAAAATGAAAGCAAGTCCATTGGACCTCTATGTGATGTCAGTGAGAATCATGTCTCATTGAAAGAGAACACTATCAATCCACACACTTAAGAGTGAACATATACTCTTACTTAACAAAGTTAGAAGTAATGCAGAACTAAGCGACTGAAAGTAATGCAAATAATCTGTTTATTTCAATTATATCTGATACAGTATGTCCAAATTTCAGATGTCTATCGTTTCATGCATAAGCTGATTCATGAATTTCCATATTAGAAATAACCTTAGAAAAAATAAGAACATTTCAGTTCCATGGAATTCAGTGATTTTGTCTAGCTACTTATCTATCTATCCATTCTGTTGGGCCATCCTACTGGAACAATTATCAATGCTGTACATGAGCAATCTAAACAATGTTTTTGCATATTGTAAACATACAACACCAGCATGTGTCCTTTGCTCAGATTGCCTCATCTTAGAAAAAACAAATAGTTTCTTGTGTAGTTCACTGTAGACTCCCAACCCTCACTTTTTATTTCAACCATGGTTAAAACAGAGAATATTCAATTTAGGCTACACTAGAACATATTTATCCCTTTACTACTATTTTGTTCTTGTAGGGACTCTTCATACCATCCTCAAATATCTTTGCAATACAATGTCTGCTCCACAATAATGTTCACTTGGCAGAATTCAATGCCCTACATTTAATGTTTTTTTAATGATTTAGACCAGATTTAATAAAATCCCTTTTCTAGAATGCCTTTGTATGTGATAACTTCCAGATGCAACACACAACTGCCCACCAAATTGTAGGCAAAATAACTAAAAACTCTCTTGCACCTGGGTGTACACCATTAGGTCTCTTAGAATTGCAATTCTAAGCTTTCCTCTACACTGGCTAAGATATATACTATGTATAGTGTAATACTAAGTCATTTGTGATTTTCTCCACAATTTTTAAAAGAATACTGTATATATGACACAACTATGGTTATTATTCTATAATTAGATAATTTTGCTCCTCAAAGATCTGGTTTTCTGGTCTGACCTATCAGATATTATATTCAGTAATCATAAACATATTATACAGAGAGTGACAGAAATGGATGCATCCAGCTCTTCCACATTTATACTAATTGGTAAAGTCTGCAATGATTATGGCATTATATTTTGTTAATTGGGTTTAGTTGGACTGTGAATTTGCCCAGTAGGCACATATTCATGGCTACGTTCTCTTAATAATATAAAAAGGTTTGAGATGAAAAACCAAGGCGAGAAGTTATATCTTTTTGTCTTTCATTTATTATTTTTTAACACCCATTATTATTCATGTGAGACAAATAAATCTAATTTTGTATATATTTGTCTATATTCTTAGCAGAAACAACTTTTATTTTATAACTTTTTCATATTATATGCTACAGCATTTTTCTGTCTTCTTCACTATTTTCTATTTGCATAATTGGGTCTACGAGAATGTGCTGAACTAAGGTTCAAGACTGAATAGTATTTAACAAATAATTGACACATTTGCTTTTTGTACATTGCTATACTAATCCAACCTCACTACATATTGTTTTTTTAGACTTTTCTTTAAGCATAATAAAGGATTATAGATTTTTTTAAAAAAAATCGACATACATATATGCATGTAGCTCGTATTACCACGTAAGCTCGTATTACCACGTATAGATTTTGCTGGTGTAATAAACTGCATTATGAATTCATGAGTTTTAAGTAGTGGAAGTATATATTTACACAACAGTATGTCTGACATTATATCATTATTGGTTGATTATACTTGAAAGGACATGATACTTGCCATTGACAAAAAGTAAGGTACTTCTATCCAGAAATCTTTTCATTTTAAGTCATTGATTAAGATACGTCTAGTTTTTACAAGGTCACTGAAAATATAAGATTTATTTATTTATATATATTTCGTGTGTCGAAATATTTACTATAACTTACAAACATTTATGAGCACGTGTATTCTGCCAGAAATTATAACACTAATAAATGCTCGTAAAAAATACAAAATGATAGGCTGTTAACTGAACTGTTCTAACAAAAGTAGAGACAAAGAGACTTCGAAATCATTATCAAAGCCTACACAAATATGTAGATACACCATATACCGTGATTTTGTTTCAAAATGGTTTTGAGTTAAAATGAGTTCATGGAATGAAAAGTTCTATTCAAACAACCCCATTATATAGAGGGATAGTTGAGAAAGAAAATAGTGAACATCATATTTTCTTATAATAGATTCTTAACCACACAAAGTTTGGAAACTCTGCCCAAACTCTGTGAAACAGCTCTGGGACAAATAAGGGGTGTCAGAGGATTAAAGGTTGGAAGAAGAAATTGGAAAATATATTTCCATTTTATATTAAAGTTTATTTTAAAATGTTTTGCATTTTTTGGTTTTATTTTATATTATGTATCTTTTAAAAACGGTAACCGACCAAGAAACTTTTTGGAGTAGGGACCTCAAAATCAAACTATCAATTAATCAGTCTATACCAATACATTGCTGTATTTATATATTTGTATATATGCTGGTGTATAATTTCTGGTATTTTTTTTAAAAAAAATACTGTTTGTATCATAGACACATAATTAACCTCTATATAATTTATGTGATCTATTATTATATTCAAATTAAATATTAGCATTTATTCAAAACAATAAAAAACTGCAAAACTCAAATTTGTTTTACAGAGACTTCCTACAAACTAGTGCCTCATAAAATATCCAGCATACACAATCAACATGGCCATTTGCTGACATTCTGGGAGATGTAATACCAAGATAGTTTAGAAAAACTGATGTTTATAGGTATATACTGATGTGTCTTTTTTTCAACATTGGGCTTGAAAAGTAACCAAATTATTTCTGTAGTGTGACATATTAAAATCAGAAATGTCATGTTAACTGATAACAAGTTGCACATGGAACTAATAGTTAATTTCCCATTACTAATTTTAAGTAGTTCCCATTACTAATTTTAAGTAGTTACGAGGCTATTTATTTTTTCCAAGTGTGTGATATTTTGTGTGTAATGAAGTACAGCCGGAAGTTTTTGTCATAAACTGAAGTCACCACTGAGCAGACTCACTTGAAGCCAGTCATTGGTTGTGCAGCCAAACCAAAGTAAGAATCAATTTCTTAATGAACAAACCCTGGAAATATCAGCTGTCTGGGAAGTGGCCCTGTAAATTAAAATGCCAATTGTGTGGCATAAAAATAAACAGCTACAGGCTATACTATGAACTGATGTACAAAATGGGGGAAATGTTAGAATATGAGGCTAATTCAAGGGTTTTATTTTATTGTAGTCAAGACCTACTTTCTCATAGTACTTGATCTCGTAGTCCAGAATGACTCCATTAGGAAAAGCAGGCTCTTGCCATGAGAGGGCAATGCTGTTTTGAGAAGCCCAGTCCTTCCTGACCATACCTATCAAGGAGGGTGCTGAAAAGGAAAAGGATAACTCCAGGTTAAAGACAATGCAGTGTATTTAAACCATCATAAAGAGATAACTTGGAATGATGCTACATGATTTGATCAATGGATCCCTCTTTGCAAAACTAAATTAGTGGTGCTAGAATCATGGTGCATAAAAGTCAAAAGGATGATTGTGAACATGTGATAAAAGCCCCACCTCTTTGTACACATGTATATCATCAACATATGTTCAAAAGATGGGCTCTTTCGCTTCAGGTTTCACAATATTCTCTGAATGTTTTTGAGCCCACTGCTCTGCATTAATAAATCTTACTACTTTAGATTAACTTCCATAAAATCTACATATTCTTCTTTAAAATCACTATGTCTTTTCCTAGAATTGGGTGGCTCTCACATGATTCTGGGAAGAAATGAATCCCCTTTAAAAAATGCAGATAAGTGCTATATTTCTAGCTGGTATGCACCAAAGATTTTTTTGGAAGTGGATGTACCAACCTAATAAATGAACTTTTAAAATTGGATTCACTTAAAAATGTGTTGAAATGGAACCCAACAAATTTCTCTAGTATGGGATGGTTCATATTGCAGCATTACTTAACATGCCAGAGTCTCATTCATTATTTGAATTAATCAGATAATCAGCTCCATCAACTAAAAATGGCCATGCACCACCATCCACAATCGAGAAAGAGTTATCGATCTGTCAATCTGGGCCGGGTGAGGTTTTCCGTGTTGTCTCTAGTATGAAATGGTTCATCTTACAGTGTTTCTTATTTCAGTGACCATAAACCTATTAACTATTATCCTGTAGAAAGATTTTATAACAAAACTTAAAAGCTACCGCCTCTTCAGGACATTTTTCAAATAATAGAGTGAGTTATAATTGTTCATAATGCTAATTTTATGTATCAGCAACTGCATATGAAAGCAACGAATATAGGAATTGTTATAAAGGACTCAAAATTTCCACAGAGCCTGATCTAAAAATGTGGATTTTTATATTGATATCTTCTATACATACATGATTACATTTGTTTTTTATATTTACTATGAAAGTAACTATTACATAGGATATAGACAGAGCAAAATAAGAACTAACCAAGTTAATATAGAATTTTCATTTTTGTCAAATGAAATGAAAATACCCTGTTTATAGTCAACTGCCACACTTTCTAACTCAAGACTGCAACTGCTAAAAAGTATCACATTTAGTTAAACAGTATAAATGCTTAATAAAACACGTATAAGGAAAATATGCATAGGAGAGCACTGTGAATGAAAATGAAGAAAAGCTCTATAAACATTTATGAAAAATGGAGAAAACATTGGAATAAGGGTATGGAGCCTATAGCTTTCCACATGCCATTGCCCTCCTGCCTTAACTAGCATGGCCAATGGCCAAGGATAATAGGAACTGGTCAGCAACGTATTCAGGCTTACAAGTTCCATAGTGATCTCTTAGGATATAACAAAGAGAAAGCTTCTCAACATTATTCTTTCATGTTTGCTTTTCCTGAAACTTATTAAGTATTATTTATTTTAGCCTAGAATATTCATTGTAAAAAAAAATACAAGTTGCCATTTAAGAGTACTTTTTCACATACTACTATCGAATATAATACAACCTGTTGCATTTTAGCACAAATTATGAAATACAAATATTTTAAATACATTTATAACATAATTATGTTTTTGTGAAGTATCCATGTTGCAGCTTGTATTCTGTATCACACATGATTGAAATCATTTTATTAATATAACACTACACAGATGCCTGCATAGATGCATAAATACCTAGATCCACATTTATTTACACTATTTGCACTTTGAGCAACTTCCATTTCCTAAAATACTGGTATTTGAAATTTCTTTGAATTTATCTCAGAAGGTCAAAATATAAATATTTAAATAAACATATGAACAGATTTCACAATAAGAAAATATACTTTACAGTACAGATAGTTTGGGGAAAATACTTTGAAAAATACATTTTGAATGATACTTTAATTATTCTAGGCAAATTAACCAGACATTTAATTGTATAATTAATTTGCATAAAACAATTATAGAATTAATTATTGATTAATAATAATTGTCCAATTTTGTTTTTAATAGGAGATATTTTTTAAAACAAATATTTAAATAATAAAAACATAGGAAACAATGTTAAAAAACCAATAACTTCCAGTGCTTCAAACCATACATTATGTACACTAGTTCACACAATTACTTTTGTTCTCTAGCATTAGATGCTAAAGGCAAGTGCTTCCTTTTTCTTAAACTCTACAGTCACAGGAGAAAATATTTATAGGAAAGATATGTGGCTAAGAAAGGATTCTGTGAAAAACCAAAGCAACCAATTTTTCTCTGAGAATGTAACTGATTTAGACAAAAGAATAGATACAGTTGCAGGTTTATATGAAGCAGAGCCATACACCTCTGTTTTATTCTGCTTTACTTGGTTAATGCCACCTTCAAAACAACTATCCCCTAGCAATAAAGAAGACGACACAGGTTTTGCAAGAAAACATTGAATTTTATATATGTTAAAGCAATTTTTGCAAATGTAATAACTATATCCATCCAGAATGTAAATGCTTCCGTCACTTGTCAACAATTCTGATTTGTATTTGTACAAAATAAATAGGCTGTCTGTAAACAGGGAAATAAATTGACACAGATCAAACACTGGCAGTCAACTATCACAAACTATTTCTGTCTACTATATCTTGCAATGATCTCAAACTATAATAAATAAATAATCTTTCAAGGAAGATATTTAAGAAACTAGAATTCATCAAAATGTTCATTCTATTCAATGTAGACATTTCCTTGTATGATGATATTGTGAAGATCTATTTCTATTTTATTATACAGATATTTAGGTATTCTAATTAGGAAGATATTGCTTTGATTATCTGATGAAGAGGACTATAAGATCCCTTAGTTATCTTCCAATAAATAGTTAATATCTAAGTTGCCATAACAGTCTTTGTTGGTTTTCTAGCACAACTACCCCCGTGGAATTTGTTACCTTGCTGTAGCCATCTGCCAGCTCACAGTTCTCCAATTACTTTTTGATAATGCCATCTGGAATTGTCAAAGGCCTTGCCAAAGTCACATTATATATATTGCATTCCCCTTATCCATCAAACCAATTACCCTGTCAAGGAAGGGAATGAGATATGGTTAGTGATATTTCCTATTCCACTTTCTGAAGGATGGGGAACTTAGAGCAGCCTTTAAAGATGAAGAAGTAGTGAAATAATAATATTCCTAAACTGTTACAAATAGGGGAAGGAAGCAGTATTACATTTGCCACCTTGAGTTACAAGAAAGAAAGGCAGAATAAGAATAAAATAGATTAAAAAGGATTGACAGATGTCATTGAAACTCAATTAGCAATTGCATGCATTTCTTTTACTCAAGATGCTCTTTTTGTTTTACAATAGCCAACTCTGCTATTTTGATGTTTTGGTTGCCTGAAATAAAGGACAAAATAAGAACCATCTTTACACATACACTGAACTTATTTCCAAATAAATAAGGAATAGCTCTCTCCTTAGGATGGGCTAGGATTAGAGCTGATTTAAGGATTAGTTTTTACGATGGTTGTGAAGTGAGTCATTCTAAGTGAACTACATGGTTGCTTATCAAACCATGAGGGCATTAAGTGAATCTAGCATATTCAATGGGAATTTTTTTTTTGCTGTAAAATGGCAAACAAATAAATAAAATAATAAGTTATAGTCATGCTGTAATGAGTTATAATTACAAGCTGGTTGCCAAGCACCCAAAATGCAGGCACATGAGTCAGTGTAATATTCTATGGCAGTTGAAAATGCTTTACAGCTGTAAAGTCATTCTTAATGTCATTGAACAATATTTAAGCAAGGACTGTCTGTAATGTGAAATACTGCACAAATGTACTATTTTCATTATAGCTAAGTATAAAGAAGAGAATGGAATGATCTACTGTATAGGTATGCAGTCTACCGTATAGGTATGCAGCTCTTCCTATTATAAAAGACTGTGGCATGTAGACAGTGAGTGGTGTGGTTGCCTAGAAGTGAAGATTCTTGCATCCCACTCAGAAGGCTGAGAGTTCAATGCTAAGCAGTGACAAATGTTTCTTTATCGGGGCATAAAGAGAAAATATCTCCTGGGAACGCTGAGTACGAGTTAGGAGGGGCACCCGGTCACTAAATGCTTAGCTCCATTCAGTCATCCTAAACCCATCCCAATAAAAGGGATTAAAGCAGAGCTGTCAAACTCCTGGCCCATGGGCTGGATGTGTCACATGCTGACCATCCACGTGTTCAGTTTAGTGAAGGGGGAAAAAGTCCCAATATATCATGTGACACCACTGTGATGAAATGAGTTTGACACCTCTGGATTAAAGGGTCATAAAAAGAAAAAAATGTAGAGCGTAATGGGATGAAATCCAGTTCAACATCAACTAACCGAAAATGAAATAAATTAAAAAGTTTTATTTTGAGAGTAGATTTGTCATGACTGAATTTGTGAAGAAAAACTGGTAACCTGGTGCTTTCCTGGGTATACACAAATAAAACACCAACATTCTTAGAACTGCTTTATATAAGTTGCTCCCCAATACATTTTATGAAAAGTTTTTGATTTATAGATGAATCCATTAGAATTCTAAATGGACTACCTCTAAATAAATGTTTATGGATCGAGTGAAAATTAGAATATATATTAGTGATTAATAAAACAATATTTAAAGGCAGCAGTAGCAATTTTTGCTGATTCCAAAATGATAACTGACATTATTGTGCAAATCCTATTCCATATTTGTATCATGGAATTTGATTCAAATATATAAGTCATGACATTTAAGTGATGATGTAATTATGTCTGTATTATAATTTTACCTCTGCTCCCATGATCTTTCTATATACTTCAGAAATATACATTATTTTCCTCAAAAGAGTGTATTACCAGAAAAGAGTTCATAAGATTGCAGTTTAAGGGAGTAAATAAAT